AAAAAATAAACCATTTAAATGCAAAAGTAAGTAAAATAAAGCCTTGGAATAAATTTAAAGTGTTAGCATGTGCTGAGTGAGAGGTGGGATTACGAACAATGTTTCTTTTTTTCTACTTTTTAATATTTCCAAATTTTTAATATGAACATGTAACTTAAAAAATGAATTATTAAAAAAAACACTTGAGACGATAGGGAGGAAGTCTGCTTGTAGTGTCAGAAATAAAGTACTATTCTTGTCTCAGCTGTCCTTGGTTCTTCCATAATCCTTCCCAAGCCATAGCCTATACTGCTCCACACGCTTTTTGATCGCACAGAAATCCCAAGGGGGAAAAACGTGGCATATTAATAAGGACAAGAGGCTCTCAGCTCTTGTTCTAAGTGCTTTACATGGATTTATTTAACATTTTTCACAACATGTCTATAATACAGATAGTAATATCCCATTTTGACAAAAGAGACTGCAGCACAGATGGATTAAGTAATTTGTCCAAGCCCACACAGCGAATAGTGATGCAACACGGTGTGGTGGGGAATGCCTCACCAGCAAATTCTGCCATCAGAAGGACTTCTTGGAAGTCAGGGAGTGCAGGAGGTAGGGCCCTTGCATTTGATCTTGTTTCTGCCATCTTCATTCCCTGCATTCTGAGTCTCTTAGCTTTTGAAACAGGAGGATATCAGACTTCGAAATGAGTTCTTCGTCCCTGCGACTACACTGGAACCTGCTCTGTGGGTAATGAGGCCCACATTTTGGAATCATCGCAGGGAACACTCATTGTTGAGCATTCTCTAAGGCAAGTGAGCACCATCGCCCACTCTGTGGCTTAGCACTGGAACAGTGGGCTCAGCCTCCTGCGAGACTTTGCCTGGGGTCTCGGAAGGGAGATGCCTAGTTCTGTCCGTGACTGGTTTTCTTAGGCTCTTCTTTTGTACCCTCCACATGCCCCAGTCCGCCTTACTCCAGCCTACATTAACCTGTGCCTTATAGGATGGAGTAGAAGGTCATGGATACATACCAGCAAGGACACCCAAATAGAAGATAAATTTCATAGCAGTCCAGATCTTTCCCTGTGAGATGCAGAAAATCAGCAGAGTATGAAACTGTCAGGACAGTGTTCTCCTCAGGAATGCCTGGTAGAATCAGTGGATATGGTTAGGTAGGGGGACGTGAAATGGGATAGGAAAACAGCTCTGGGCATAAAGACGGGGGTGGAAGAGGGCTCCAGGTACACAATGAAGATGGGCTTCTGCTCGAGGGAAGATGGACTGTTCCTCTCTTGGATCTTTCAGGGAAGGAAAAAAAAAAAAAAGCCCAGTTCCTTAGACTTCCAGATCCAGGTCCCTCTACCTGCTGTCCCTAAAAGCCCATCTGCCTCAAATCAGCTGTCTGTGGGGAAGGGAGCTCTAGGCTCAGGGCTTATCTTCCACATGGAGTTTCTGAGGTCAGGGCTGTGAGGGACAAGATTCGCCACCTTAGCTCAGGCGGTGTCCCCAGGTTTGCTCCGAAACACCTAATACTTACCCCTTTCCTCAGCCCCTCCCATCTTTATTACACTTCCTTCCTCTTTCCCTGTGATCACTGTTTGTTTCATCACTCTGCCATCATCACCAGCTTGGTCTGTTATCCTGGTCCCCAGCTCTGAGCTAAGGACATGTGGGAATGCAAAGCACTCATAGAGCAGTTAGTTTGACAGCTGGGGAAATGGTCTGTATTCTAGGTTATATTAAATTGAGGACCTACTGTGTATTGGTGACAATTCAGAAGGAAGGACCCGTCAGTGCTTTTTACCTAATGAAAAGATTTCTCAGCCAATAATAAACTGCTCGGGTCATCTTTGGAGAATTCAGAGCACCCTCTAACAAGAACACTTTCAGTAATAGCTCTTAAATCCCAGGCTCTGAGCTAAATTCTTTATAGACACTGCCAGTGGTGATTTCATATCAGGGCAGTCTGAGATGTAAAATTAATTATTCTTTGTATCACTCTAGCCCTTCAAAGTCTCATAAGCCCATAATCTCATGCCAATGGGATAATAAGCCTACAAAGAGGAAACAAGGCTGGTACCATTTTTTTTTTCTTGGTCTGTAGATAACAGAACTAAAACAGAATTTACACCAGTGTCTCAAAATCACACATGCTTGGAAAGACTAGAAATAGAATCTAGGTCTTATTATTGGAGACACATAGCTTTTCAGCTGCGTTCTCCAGGCTTCAGCTAATCAACTGGCATTCCTACATCTTGAAAGAGATACATTTCCTCACACAAATTCCCTGAAGTGTAAAATGAAAAAGAGACATGGCACATACTTTCCTGACCCTCACAGTGGACACAGAGGTCCACTGGGGAATAGGTCTGGTTTATAAAATGTGCTTGAGGTTCAAAGACAGGATGGATGTGTGCAAAGTTTTCTGTGGGGAGGGTAGGATTAGTTAACAGAGATGAAATTTGAGAGAGAGATATTCTTTACTCTGAGGTGGTTGGGCCTAGATTTTTTTGGACAGCTTATGGGCCAGGAGGGGAGTTTGAGGCCTTTCCAAAGACAACAGATTTTCTGGAGGAGGCTGGTACTGGGGACTACTACCTGTCTATAAGTTTTAAATCAGTATCTCTAGCCCAGACCTCCTGTCCCACATATAGAACTGCCTCCTTGAAACCATTTTTTTTTTTTTGCATCTGCTTGAGGTTCCTGAAATTTAGCATGTCAGAATTTTATCCTTTCTTCCTCTAGCTTTTCAAATGCATTCTTTGCCTGTTTTTCTAATTGTAGGAGATTACATACCATTTGTTTGATTTCTTCCTTTTTCTCACCACTCAACCTTAAACAGTTCTACTTCCAGAAGTCTCTTAAATCCATCCTTATCTTTTCATTCTCACAGCTGTCATCCTAATGCAGGCCATAATCTTGTCACGCTTGAACTAATATGTGAACTAATAGGTGTTGCTCAACTTGACATTCTCCTTTTTATTTAGAATTGGTTTTTTTTCCCCCTTTAGAATGCATATGAAATCATGTCAGTCTCCTTTTAAAAACTCTTCAGTAGTTCCCTATTGTCTGTAGAGTAAACCCCTAGCATGCTTTAACAGCCTCCCTTGAACCTCTTCCATCTTGTCCTCATAACCCTCTCTCCTTAGCTTCTTTCCCCCACCCCGCCCCTGCCCCCTGCCTCACATAATTTTTACAGGCTTAGCAAACTACTTTCAAGTGTGGGATTTCTTGTTTCAATACAAATACCTTTTTATATTATTTTAGCTGTTGAGTGCTTCTTGTAGTTTGCCAATCCTATTTATTTTTTTCCTTTTTTTCTTAAAGATTTATTTATTTAAGAGAAAGAAAGAGAGAGAAAGAGAGAGAACAGGGGGAGGGGCAGAGAGAGAGAGAGAGAGAGAGAGAGAGAGAGAGAGAGAGAGAACCCTTAAGCAGACTCCCCTGCTGTACAAGGAGCCCATCTCAGGGCTGGATTCCATGACCCTGAGACCATGACCTGAGCTGAAATCAAGAGTCAGCCACTCAACAACTGAGCCACCCCGGTGCCCCCACTTTTTTCTCTTTTGTTTTAGGATAGTGATAATCTGATATCGACATCATTCGTAAAGCTGTTTGAAAAAATAACTTGAGAATTCTGTGGATGGATGTGTGTATGTGTGTTTGTGTGTGTGTGTTTGATACTCAGTGTTTCCTCATGTTTGTAATTTTTTGTTATTAAGTTCTTTATTAGTATTATTACAAATTCCTTGTGCACATGGAGATGCATCTGCTTCTAGCCTCATTCCACGAACCATCAGGTTTACAGAGACTCTAATTCTGTTATTGTTTCATTCTGCCACCTAACTGATTTTCTATTTAGATAATATTCCTGTCCTACTCCACCACCAAAAATCAATTTGAAAAAGTCAACTTTTGAAAAAGGCAACTTTTGCAAAAACTTCAATTCACTTCACCCCCCGGCAATGTATTCAATGATATATGCTTACATGCATATATGCTCATATACAAGTGAAATGAATGACAGCAATGATGTAAGGGAAAGGAAAGAGAAGTCAGAATTATTTTATTATCATTAGGTACTCACACTATCCGTGAACTGACACAGTGTTTTTGGAAGTGGACAATGGTTAATTGTAAATTTATATTGCAAACTCTAAGGCAACCATATAAAAAACATTAAAAAAAGTATAATCATATGCTAAGAAAGGAGAGAGACTAAAATAATATAAAATACTCCATTAAAATCACAAGAGGCAAACCAAAAAAAGTGAAAGACAAAGGCTTTTTGAAAAAGGATAGAATGAGACCCTCATTCTATGCAAGAGATCCCTGCATACAGGAGGGCAGTGTAGTAAGAAAGATTTGGAGCTCTGAAAAGAGCCACTCGTGTCGGTGTTGGTTGGGAGCTTTTATTCAAATGGCATCTGCAGTTGTGAGACATGACCTGTACAAGTGAAGTCGTTCTCAGGAGAGGTGGGCTAGGCACTACCTGCATGAAGGGGAGGAGGGCAGTGTCACACAGGAGGGTGGGACACAGCTGTGCTTCATCAGAGCAGCCCAGAACAGAAAGGGGTCAATGGGACATGTAGAGGGAGGGGGGCTGGTCACACATTGTGGGGAAGGGACTGGTGAGAAGAACGGAGAGGCTTGGGGGAGGAACTTGGGATGACTTTTAACTCCACAGAAGGGTTACTTGACTCCTGCATTGGAATTCTTTTCTTTAGATGAAGTAGGTAAAGCTCAGACCCATGGACCTCATCTTCCCATAGGGCAGGCTTCACTGAGACTGAGAAGATCTCCGGCTGTGACGGGTGACTCTGCTTTCACGCCGAGGATCAAGAGTAGAAGGAGAAACCTCTAGATGACAGACTTTTGTAGAATCCTTATCCTCTGGTCTCCCACCTGCACCTTCTGCTGTCTCGAATCCCCAGGCAGGATATAAATTCTGTGCTTTCTTTGTGCCTGTTAATTTCCACTACATCCTTGTCCTCAGCACAGGATTCGGGCATCAACATGAATTGTATCCCATTAACCTTGCTGATGGTGACTGGTGAGTGACTCAAGGTAACTTTGTCAAGTTAATTAGGACTCTATTGGGGGGTGAGGCTGTGGCGCTGTGTTGGGGAGGGAGAGCTGGTGGATCAGGGACGTGAAAGTTTGGGAAATGGGTGATACATTACTCATTTTCTGTACAGGCTCTGTCATTGGTAGGACCCAAGTAAAACTTTCTATTATGGGCTCAAATCTCCTCCCAATGCTTATGAAGTTCGTGGGCTAAAACATGGGGGTATGCCAGAAGGGATGATGGAGATAGGATCCTGGAAGGGGGCATAGGAATGTGTAAAAGACATAGGAAACAAAAAAGCAGGTGTTCTGCTGTAAGGGTCGAAAGGGAAAGGTTGATTTTGCTCTTGGGCTTTAAAATGTAATGTACAATAATAAGAATAACAACTATCACCACCACTGCCATAAAAGCATATAACTACATAGTGGTTTTATAACAGACACCGCTCTCTTCATATCAACTTTGTGAGAAAAGTATTATTATTGTTCTCTCTCTCTCTCTCTCTCTTTTTTTTTTTTTTGATGAGGAATGAAGGCATGGAGTAATTAGGTAACTTGCCTGCAATGAAGTTGGTATGGCTCTGTAATTAGGCAGTTATGCTCTTCTACCTAGTTATATGGCCAGGGACAATACTCTAACCTCTCTGAGCCTCAGTTTCCATATGTGCAACATGAGAAAACTCTCTGTCTCTTAAGGACATCAGTGCTTCTTAAACTTGTATTAGACTGAGAGGAGTTAGCCAAGTTAAGTGGGGTGAGGGGTGGGTAGGTTGTTTCCGACAGAGATGAAGGTTGTTTCAGTAAGTGTGAAGGTCATGAGGTGTGACATGTTAACTAAAAGACCATCTGTGTGGCTGGAGCAGAGAGAAAGGAAGTAGATTAAGAGTCATATAGTAGAGAGTCTTCTAGCCTTAATTTTAGAAATGACCCTGGGTGTAATAGGAATCCTTTCAAGAGTTTTAAATATCTGAGTTCTATTACCACACTTAGGATTTAGAAACATTCACATGACTTTAGTATGGAGAATGATTTTGGGTAGAAATAAAGGTTATGGGTGGGAAAGATCTGGAGAGAAATTTAAGAGACTGTTGCAGTTTCTGGGCAACTGAATGGACTAGGATGGTAGCCGTGAGTCTGAAATAAAGGAAAAGGATACCAGAGGTAATAGTGAGATAGAAGTCATGATCAGCTGAATGTGAGGAACGAAGGGCAGGAAAAAGTAAAGGCTTGTCATCCAGATTTCTGGTTGAATGAATGGTAGTACAGTTTATGGAAATCAGGGACACTGGACAAGGAGGTATTTGGGAAAGGAGACAGGTTACTTTTTTGACTTACTTAGTTCGAAGTATTTTTAGGCATCGAATGGAGATGTCCACCTGAATATAAAGGTCAGGAACTCATGACGGATCTGAGCTGGGATGCAGATCTTGGAATTTGGGAACTTTGACAGGATTTGAATTCGTGGGAATGAGTGAAAAAGATTACTTGAAAAGAGTTTATGGAAATGTGTAAAAGACAGAACTATGAAGAGTTCTAACTGCTTTTTTGGTTTAAAATTCTCATTTTGAAATAATTATACATTTACAGGAAGTTGCAGGAAATGTGTGGAGTACCACATACCCTTCATCTGGTTTCCACCATGGTAACATCTTTCATAACTATGGCACGAAAATATGACAGACCATGAAACTGACATTGGTGCTGTCCAGTTTCTTCAGCTTTCCTCATTTTTACGTGTGTGTATTTAAACTTCACACCTGTAGGTCTATGCGTCCATCACCACTTTGAAGACACAGAAGAGTCCATCACTGCAGAGTCCCTCCTGTTGCCCTTCTTATGGACACACCATTACATTCTCCCTCCTCCACAAAACCCCCCTTCCCTAAGCCATGGCAACTGCTAATGTGCTCTTCACTCCTGTAATATTGTTGTTGCAAGAATGTTACAGAAATGGAATCCTATAGTATGTTATATTTCAGGATTGGCTCTTTTTACTTAGCATAATTCCCTGGGATTTGTCCAAGTTGTGTGTATATCAATAGTTTTTTTCTTTTTATTACTATTATTTTGGGGTATGGATGCACGCTGGTTTGTTTAACCATTTACCCACTGAAGCACATCTGGGTGGTTTTCAGGTTTTGGCTTTTACTAATAAAGCTGCTATGTTTTTGTGTGATAGTAGGTTTTTGTTTGTCTGGAATACATGTCCAATAATGCAGTTTCTGGCAATGGTAATTGTATGTTTAGTTTTATACCATACTGCCAAATTGTTTTCCAGATTGGCTGCACCATTTTAGATTCCCACCAACAATGTATGAGTGAGCTATTTTCTCTACTTCTCTGCCAGCATTTGGTGTTTTCACCGAAGTTCACTATTTTTTATATTAGCCATTCTGTTAGGTGTATAGTAATACCTTATTGAAATTTTAATGTTCATTTTCCTAGTAACTAATGATGTCAAATATCTTTCATGTGCCTGTTTACCATATGGATAGTCTTTTTTTTTTTTTTAAGATTATTTATTTATTTATTTGACAGAGAGATCACAAGTAGAGAGGCAGGCAGAGAGAGAGGAAGGGAAGCAGGCTCCCTGCTGAGCAGAGAGCCCAATGTGGGGCTCGATCCCAGGACCCTGGGACCATGACCTGAGCCAAAGGAAGAGGCTTTAACCCACTGAGCCACCCAGGCGCCCCTGGATGTTCTTTTTTTTTTTTTTTTAATTTTTAAAATTTATTTTCAGCATAACAGTATTCATTGTTTTTGCACCACACCCAGTGCTCCATGCAATCCGTGCCCTCTCCAATACCCACCACCTGGTTCCCCCAACCCACCCACCACCCTTCAAACCCCTCAGATTGTTTTTCAGAGTCCATAGTCTCTCATGGTTCACCTCCCCTTCCAATTTCCCTCAACTCCCTTCTCCTCTCCATCTCCCCATGTCCTCCATGTTATTTGTTATGCTCCACAAATAAGTGAAACCATATGAAGATTGACTCTCTCTGCTTGACTTATTTCACTCAGCATAATCTCTTCCAGTCCCGTCCATGTTGCTACAAAAGTTGGGTATTCATCCTTTCTGATGGAGACATAATACTCCATAGTGTATATGGACCACATCTTCCTTATCCATTCGTCCGTTGAAGGGCATCTTGGTTCTTTCCACAGTTTGGCAACCGTGGCCATTGCTGCTATAAACATTGGGGTACAGATGGCCCTGGATGTTCTTTTTAGTGAAGTGTTTGTTCTTGTCTTTTGCCTATTTTCTAATTAGATTGTTTGTTTTATTGACTATTGAGTCTGAGAATAGGTATCCAGTCTGTACAAGTCCTTTATCAGCTATGAGGTTTGCACATATTTTTCCCGGTCTATAACTGGTCTTCAAACTCTCTCCAGAGAGTCTTTTATAAAGCAATTGTTTTTAAATTTGATGATTTGATGAGGTCCAATTTATCATTTGATCCATAGGTTATTCAGGAATATGTTTAATCTCCATGTATTTTGGGATTTTCCAGGTATCTTTCTGTTATTCATTTCTAGTTTAATTCATTGTGGCTTAAGTTCAGAAATTGCATGATTCCCTTTTCTTTTACGTTTGTTAAGTGTGTTACGTGGTCCAGAACGTGGTCTCTCTTGGTGAATGTTCCATGTGGGCCTGCGAAATCTGTGTGTTCTGCTGGTTTTACAAAAGCAGTCTATACTTGTCAACTACATCCAGTTGGTCGAAGGTGCTGTGGACTTAAATGACATCCTGACTGTTTTTCTGCCTTCTAGAACTGTCCATTCCTGATAGAGAAACGTGTTGAAGTCTTCAAGTAGGAGAACGGATTTATCTATTCTCTGTAGTTCTATTAGCTTTTACCTAATGTAGTTTGATGCTCTGTGATTATGCACATGCACACTAAGGATTGTTATGTCTTCTTGGATCATTGATCCCTTTATTATAATATAGTAATGCCTGCCTTTATCTCTGATAACTTTACTTAAAGTCTGCTATGTTTGAAATTAATATAGCTACTCCTGCTTTCTTTTGAGTAGTGTTAGTGGGATATATCTTTCTCCATCCGTTTACTTTTGGTCTGTATGTCTTTATGTTTAAAGTGGGTTTAGGGGGCCCTGGCAGGCTCAGTCGGAGGAGCATGCAACTCTTGATCTTAGGGAAGCCCCGTGTTGGGTGTAGAGATTACTTAAATAAATAAAACTTAAAAAAATTTAAAGTGGGTTTATTGTAGACAACAGACACTTGGATCTTGTATTTTGATTCATTCTGACAATCTCTGTGTTTTTTTATTGGTGCATTTAAACTGCTGTATTTATAGTGAATATTGATATAGTTGGATTACTATCCACCATATTTGCTGTTGTTTTCTACTTGTTTTATGCTCCTATTTTTTCTTTCACTTTTTTTGGTTTGCCACTTGTCATTTAAATGGAGTATTTTATATTATTTTAGTCTCTCTCCTTTCTTAGCATATCCATTATACTTCTTCTTTTTTAATATTTTTTATATGGTTGCCTTAGAGTTTGCAATATAAATTAACAATTAACCATTGTCCACTTCCAAAAACACTGTGTCAGTTCACGGATAGTGTGAGTACCTAATGATAATAAAATAATTCTGACTTCTCTTTCCTTTCCCTTACATCATTGCTGTCATTCATTTCACTTGTATATGAGCATATATGCATGTAAGCATATATCATTGAATACATTGCCAGGGGGCGGGGAGTGAATTGAAGTTTTGCATTTACCAGCACATTTCCATGTTGAAGGGTGAGAATTGAAATGCACCTCCCTACTGTGCTCCATTTACCAGGAGATGGAGGAGGCAATGTTCTGAGTAGCTCTACCTTACATAGCCTTGTTCAATATAGTTGTCAAATGACGATGAAGGCTTGGCAATCTGCTGGGTCTTGGGGACATAGGGCCATGTGTGGTGGAGAGAAGGAAGCAGAGTACTGTTAACTTTGCCTCAGACTCCTCCGTCAG